ATTCCTTTGAACTCTACCTGGGTTGAACACCCCAGAGAGGCTGGTGCTTTGGTGGACTGATTTGTTTATTAATTTATTTATGTAGTGTGGTCTTGGGGTTAGTGATTTTTTTCTTTTTTTTTTAGTCTTTCTATCTCTTGAGAACCTCTTTCGAGAGTACTTGTAATCACATGAATTATACTGTATCAGAATGTTGGAAAATGAAAACCTAGACTTTTACCTAGCCCTCATCATCCTATAAAATATAGAAATAGATGTGTGGTTGCAATGAATCACATTTTGTGCCTTACTCAGTTCACATGGCTTAACAGCTGATTCATATAGGACAACCCCCTAATCCTTCGCTTGGTGACAGGCTGCACGCCAAGAAAACAGCCCTGTTACACTACAGTCAGAGCACCATCTCTCTCTGGAGAGTCCTGTGACCTGTTAAAAGAATGATTTGAAACTATGAATATGTTGATTTGCTTTAGTTTCTAGATTAATGTTTGAACTTGTTTCTGTGGAAGGGGCATCTGTATTCTGCTCTGCCTGATCCTGCTTTGGCAGGGGTTTGGAGCAGATCATCTCCAGAGGTCCTTCCCAACCTCAACAGTTCTGTGCATCTGAGAAAGTGATGATTTGCTTTAAAAGTGTAAGCTAGACAGCTCTCAGAAACATAAAAGCAAATGAGTGATTATTGTAGTTGCTAAAGGAAAAGAAAGTGTATTTCTCATCTTTAAAAAAAAAAAAAAAAAAAAAGCTTAAAGAGGAACTTACTTCAGGCCTGTAAGGTATGAGGAAACAGGCCATGCTTAGTAAATATTTACAGTACACATTTCAAAGCTTCTGGAGGAAGATATGTTAGGCTAGAAGCAAAAAAAGAAACCCCCAAAAATCCAAACTAAAACACCTACTCCCCTCCCCCCCCAAAAAAAACAACTCCAACAAACCAAACACAAAAAACCCTTTTCCCTTTGAGTGGTAAAATCTGATGGAATTTTTCAGTTTTTGTAGAAGTATTTATGGTACGTCAACTGTGGAAATCTCGTTCTAAGTACTGGCCATCACAACTTTGTTGTCCTTTTTTTCCCAGAATTTTTAGCTATTGCATATGTGCAGATCTACATAACAGAGTATGTATTTGCATGGCATTTTTTGGATGGAAGTATGAGAGCCGTAACTAGACATCGTTACTGGGTGATGGGAAGGGGTGAAAGCTCAGCAAAAATGAAAAATTTTGCTGACCAATGCTATCCTCAGTTCCATAGAATAACTGTGAAATAATAGTGGTGCATGAACATTTGTGATCAAATTCAGGAAAAACTCCTTAAATCTCCTGGATGGTGACTGCGTAGTGCTTGTTTGCAGCATTCAGAAGCAACCTACTAGTAGAGATGAATGTCAACAAGAATTAAAGTAATTCGTCAAGAATCTGAGAGGAGCTAATGTTTCACAGATTCTTACTAAGAACTCTTGGAACATAGCTGTCAGCGCCCACTGTTCGCATGGGCAACAGGTTTTAGTGGATTTGATTTTGGTGTACGTAATATTGTTTTGTTTCCATGGTTCACAATTAACTAAACTGATATTTTAAATTTAGAAAAATATTTCAGAAGTAACTAAATTTATAGATTTAATATCTTCTGGGAACATTTTCTGCAGCTATATGGGGTTGTGAACGTATGTACAAAAGCAGCTGGGTTGCTTTAAGCTAACAAATTACCACTTGTCATCTCTGACTGTTCTACTTCCAGAGTAAAAAAACAAACCCCAAAAAAACAAACTACTTACCAAAAAAAACCCCAAAACCATTCCAAAAAAAAAAACCAACAAACATTTTTTATGTGTGTGTGAGCTTTGCTGGTTTTTTGATTGCTTTTGTTCCTCGATATGCAGAACTAAATTGGCTCTGAGTAGAGTCGTGTTGGTTGGTAAGCAGGACACTGGCTATTGGAGTCCTGTAACTCCAGCAGTCAGATTGGCTGTTCTTGTTCATGCTGGGTGAGTTCAGAAGCTTAATTTATCTGTTAGCACGGTCACTTCTATGCCAGTAACATAACACCTATCCTTTATGTAATCCTTCCCTTGCTTCAGCCAGCTGATTAAAAGCCAAAAAGAACAACTTTTGGTGGAACTGGAACTCAATTAAAGCAGGGGAAGGAAGTATAAATATGCTGGGAACAGCAGAACAGAATAAAATGTGTTTAGTGTGGAGGAAATTTTGTTATGCAAAATGAAAGATATGAATTAAAAATATGATGTGCTGCTATTTATAGTTTGAGAGAAAAGGGTTAGTAGAAATCTGGGTCAGTAGTTTAAATAATCTTACACGTAATCATGAGATTTAAGCCTTACATGTTGGAATTACAAAAGCAGTCATAATTAGGCACTGAGACTTCCATGTTGAAAAATGTTTTTAAGGTGCTCTAGTATTTGTACTGTTTGGGGACTGTCTTTAAATTTGAACATAAGCAAAGCCCTTCAAGCAGATCACCTAATTCTGTTGACTGATGGTGTCCTACTGAACCAAGCCAGTGCCTGGAATATCTTACTTTCTGGCAGTGGGGTTGCTGCAGCTACAATGCATGAACTTAAAAAATGAAAAAATACAGTAACTAAATCTCCCATTCAGAGCACAACACTCATACGAAATAATTGCTGAGGTGTTTGTTACATTAAGTCTGTGGCTTGTTGTTAAAAACTGCAGTGAGAGGTTGAGCAAGGGATCGCTAGAGGCTTGGTATTCTGCACAGTGGCTTCCCACCCCCCGCCTTTTATTTTTTTAAAGCTAGCGCTAGCTCCATCAGCGTGCTATGCAGGACAGCCTGCAGCCTGTCAGCTGACTCCAGGATTAGTTTCATGGTACAGGAGGAAATGAAGCCTTTGATTCCAAAAGTTTTCACTTCTTCAGTGTAATGGTGAGCATATTATTGCTGGTTTGGGGGATTCTTTTTTTTTTTTTTTTTTGATGTGCTGTTGTAATTAAGGAAGTGAATCTGTATTCATTTTGAGTATTTGCTACAGGTGTCCGTTCGATTAGACAGTTTGGAGAGCTAAGCAAAAACAAGGCCAGCTCCTCCTCTGTTGCCCTTTTGGGGGGCAGAGGGGGGGAGTCAGGAGTTGTATAGGCATAAAGTGATTATTGTTACAACTACATAGGTTTGCCCATATTACTGTGCTGCTTGGTTCTTGCTAAACAATTTCATTTATATTGGTGATTTTACTGATATAGAAGATGCCTTCTAAAGTTTAATATTGCTAAGTCATCCTCAGTTAAGTATGTGGCATAAAGGTTTATATTTAGCTCCTCAGTGCAGCAATGCAGTTAGGGATAGAAAATTGCTTCCTCACTTGACTGCAAATAATTAAAATTTAGAAGTTAGCATATAAGTCATTGCTTCAGTATATGATTTTTCAAGTGTGCGTTTCTGACAGAGAATTAATCAAGCTAGTTTCACGGTATAAATTAGTACTCCTTTTTCCATAATATTTTCTTGTGCTTTAGCAACAGATATTCACATTTCTCAGCAATTTCTAGCCAATAATCAGGAGAGAGGAGGAACTCTTAGACCTTGGAAATATGAAATCTGTGTACCACCATGGTGACACAGCAAATCAAATGCTTTTTTATGCATTTCTGTAACTTGATATTTCTTCTGCGTTACCTTTGGAGAGAATGTGTATTCCATAACTATATTCACACAAGATCATGTCAAATTCAGAAGGTGAGATAATTTTGTAGGAGGTTTGTATAAGTCTCAGAATCTTCGAGTGTGATGGGGGCAAGATGCTGGAGTTGTTATTGAGGGAACTGTGCCCAGGATACAAGGAGCCGCGCAGTTCTCCCTCGCTCCCCTTCCCAGCTGCATGGAGCTGTGCAGGGGACTTCTGGCATCCTCCTCGCTCGCTTTGGGTTGCTGCGTTCTGCCGTGATTGCAGCCTGCTGTTTGCAGTTATGGGACGTGCAAAGTGTTACCTCCAAAGGTGATCCCTGAACGTCAAAATGCTGAGAACAGGGATATCTACACAGTACCCACCTCATCTAATTTTCCTTCCAACTGGAGTGGTCATTTCAGGCTGTGGGTTGGTATTTAGCATTTCACTGACTGGAATTCAACTTCTATTCCATAAGAATAGCACGGGGTTTTCTCCTGTGGGACAGTTGGTAATATATTGTACCATTTTGTGTGTGTGTGCTGATTTTTCAGTATTTTGCTGTTCTGGTGCTGTTGGTTTATGTAGAACTGCTTGCAAGTCTAGGCAGATTGTGAAAGCAGAAGCATGCGAGAATAACACTGAAATGGGATTTAAAAGGAAGCTTGAGTGTGTGGAAGGTTTATGTGGAGGAATAAAGGAGGAAAACAGAGGCTTATAGGGAAGATGAATAAGGTGTTTATTTTTCCCTCTGCTCTCCTGAGCAAACAACACAATGTTTAGAAAGAACTAAAAATGGGCATTGTAAACTGCCAAAGCTATGGGAGAAGTTTTGCATGAAGATACTGTGGAAGGGTTTCCTCTCCCTCTCTGCCACCTATACGTATGTGTCTTCATGCTGTTCTCCTTTTCACCTTCAGTGCTGATTTTCTGTATCCTTTTAACAGTCTCTTCCTCAGAGGTATAAATTCTGCAACCAAAAGGGTCGGGCTTAGCGTTTTAAAATGAGTCTTAGTGATCAGTTGGTTCTTCAACTTTTATCCTGACTCTTGGCTAAATCCTAAGTGATACAGTGCAGGGTTTGCAAAACCTTGCAACAATGTGACTTGTAGTTTGAAACCTCCATGTGAACGTATTTGCATGTTTCCTGGAATCATTTTGACCTCTAATTAATGTATTTATAGGAATGGATTTATACCTAGTGATAACTTTTGTTGCTTTTTAATGTGTAATTCCCATACAAAAAGAAAAATACAAGTCTGCTAAGGTATGTTTACTGTACTGATGTCTTTCTATAAAATGAATATTCTTTTTAGTAAGTTATGTTTTCTTTATTTTTTTTCTTCCCTTTTGTTGTTGTGCAGAGCTCTGGGATTGAAACATTAGTGGAGGAGCTTTGCTCCAGACTGAAAGACCTTCAGAGTAAGCAAGGTGAGGAATAAATCTTTGAACTTCTGAGGCCATATATTGTATTTATCGACTGTGTAACATTCTGAGGTGTGTGGGTGGGGGAGCAGGCTGTTAATTCAGTAGTTTTAATACAGGCCATGCAATTTTAAAATACATTTGAATAATTTCATTCAAATAGTTTAAGCAATTCTGTACTAGTATGCTTTTTTTAATAGCCATTCACAAATGGAGTTTTTCTCATGAAAAGCTATAACTTTTCCTATCTAGCTATGCCTGCTTTTGTAGTAAATGTTCCACATTCAGCATCCTCCCTCCCCACACAAGAAATCAAAATAAAGTAGGCTTGATTCTGTTACTTTTCTATTGATACTTGCAAAGAGTCGATTGGTCTCAACATTGTTATATACTAGCTATTCCTGTGAAAAACATCCAAGCAGCTGGCACAGAGAAGTATGCTTAAAATTTCTGGGCTTTAGAGGGATGATAATGGGGATTTCGTGGTGTCAAGCTTAGGGCAGGGAGCATAATACAAAGTTGTGGTGTCTCCGATGAAAGTTCATTTCACATAAATGTTTATTCAGGCACATAGCAGTAGCCTTTGATACTTACTGTAAAATTAATGTGCTTATCAAGTAATATAAATAGCAATAAATAAAGGATAAATATTTACCTCCTTAAAGCATGATTTTAGCTGTTTTCATTCCTTTTTTTCTGTTTGTAAACAGGAATTACTAGTCAGCTCTTAGTATTTTATAGTGCTATGCTGTGACACTTTCTTACTGAGCTAAGGTGATGTTGACCATTTATTTTGAAAAAAAGTAAAATTAGTGATATCTCACAGCATTTTTTTGGTATTTTACAGATTTTAATATAAAGAATTGGAAATCTTTAGAATCACCTCTCACACAGGAAATACTCTTTTACATCCATCCAAAGCACAGCAGCTACTGCAGGGGTGCTTCCTTGCAGTGAAATACATGAGACGTTAGATGCAGCCATTCATAAGAATATTTAGTTAAATTGTCAATTTTTTAAAAAGCCTTTTTTTATGTGTAGCAATGCAAGAAGGAGATAAGGATTTAGATGCGAAATAACTAAAAATTCAAAGAGATGTCTCCTGGTAGGGGCATTGCTAACCATGAAGGTGCATGCAGCTGCTAGCCAGTGATGTTTGGTGAAATTTGCAGGGCTTAAGAAGACAACTGTGGAAAACTTAAATCTTGGGTGGTATGTACAATATCCAGACTATAAATTATTCTGTTATTTACAGTGTTTTATGGAAATTTACTACTATTACAGGTATACATCCTGATGCTTTTTGTTAAATACTGTTATAAAATACACTGACTTCTTGAATTTTCTGTTAAGCATTTGGAATTTTCTTCCAAAACAGAGGAGAAGATTCACAAAAAGTTAGAAGGCTCTTTGTCTCCTGAGACTGATTTATCTCCCACAGCAAAGGATCAAGTAGAAATGTATGCATTTTTTTATTATTATTATCTGAGATGCTTTTCTTTTTTCTCCTTTTACTCCCATATTTTAACACAGTGAAGTTAACTTAGTGAGGAACCTGGAGTTTTGTGGATATTAAGAAATAATTTTTTTTTTCCCCCTGCCGTCTTCTCGTGTTAATCTCATATATTTAAATATGAGCATTTGGTACTGTGGGCTAGTTTAGTTTCTGGCAAGGTCCTGACTGCTTTCTTTTGACGATACGCAGAACTCAAACCATACTGTATTTTAGTTTCTTTAAAACCAAGTCAACTAGACAAATCAAAAGCCTTTAGAACAGCATTAATTGACGTGTTAAACTTGCAGGGAGAGAGTTGGTTTCCTGGATTCATAGAATCATAGAAGGTTTTGGGTTGGAAGGGACCTTTAAAGGTCGTCTAGTCCAGCCACCCTGCAGTGAGCAGGAACATCTTCAACTGGATCAGGTTGCTCAGAGCCCCGTCCAACCTGACCTTGCATGTTTCAAGGAATGGGGCATCTGCCACCTCTCTGGGCAACCTGTGCCAGTGTTTCACCACCCTCATTGGAAAAAATTTCTTCCTTACCTCCTGTCTAAATCTCCCCTCACCTTATCCTGTCTTGTTCAGAACTATTTGTCTTCTGTTGCAGAACTGGGAAGCTGAAACTCTTTTATAACCTTTAAACTCCTTATAACCAAAGTGCTCTACTAGTTACAAAGTATATGAGTCCAGTGTTAGTGAAGTACCCAGGAGTTTTATCATTGACTTCTCTTGGAGATATGACTGCTTCTGTAGCTCCTAAGAATAACCATTGGTAGCAACAGTCTAGTAGAACTGTTGCTGAATGGATGTTACTTCTTCAAGGAACCGATTGTGCTAATGTGCATTTAACTTATATGACTTCTGAATATTTTTAATAGGTTTGCATTGAAATATATGTTTTTCAGTATAAATCTCTTCCCTGTCAAACACATACTACTTTAAATGTTGCAGAAACCGTATTTTAATTTTGTCCCTGTCACACAAAGCTGTTAAGCGTCTTAAACTACTCAAAACTAATCTTTTTTTGCAGCAACTTTTTCTTAATAACTGGGCGATCAAGCTATAAAGAACTTAGCAGATAGTGTCTCGTTTCACAACGGAGAGTTTGAAAAAAATGAAATTCAGGACTGAACTGACTAAAATTCAGGACTTCCTCATTTACACTCTAAATCAAACATGCTTAGAAGACTGTAGTAAATGGCTACATTAGATAATAAATCTGGAGTCAGGCCTTCGTTGTTTTAAGCATCCACAATTTCTGTCTACAGTGAAGTTTAGTACTCCCTAAAAATGGAATTGTTTTATTTGGCAGTATATTTTTTAAGCATATATTAATATAAGCACTTTTAAAGCTTATCTTAATCTCCCCTTTGTTTATGAGTCAAATAAAAAGTGCAGTGAGTGGCATGTGTGTATGTAGAACAAACTAGATTTTTTGGCAGTTAGATTGGTAGTGTCTTGATATTTTTTTTTAGTAATACTCTCTAATCTTAATGCCTGTCTGAAATTCTACGATCAGAATGTCAACTTTTTGTTTTGCTTTCAGGTACTATGAAGCATTTCCTCCTCTTTCTGAAAAGCCAGTTTGCCTGCAGGAAATCATGACTGTATGGAATAAATCCAAAGTATGCTCTTACTCTAGCTCCTCATCTTCATCCACTGCTCCACCAACTAGCACAGATACATCTTCTCCAAAGGACTGCAATAGTGAAAGTGAAGTAACTAAAGACAGAAGTAATAAAGTATCTGCCACTGTACAGGAAAGAACCCAGCAGAAGAAAAGTAAAAATGAGAAAGAAAATAAGTTTAGTAACAACACTGTTGAAGAGAAGCCTGTTTTGTACAAAAAGCAAGTCCGACACAAGTCTGAGGGAAAGATGCGTCCTCGCTCCTGGTCATCGGGATCCAGTGAGGCTGGCTCAAGTTCTAGTGGTAATCAAGGTGAATACAAGGCATCAATGAAATGTATTAAAGTACGACACAAAACAAGAGAGGTTCGAAATAAAAAAGGGCGTAATGGGCAAAGCAGGCTTTCAGTGAAATCTGGTGAAAAGGCGGATAGAAAAGTCCACAGCGGAAGCAGCAGCAGCAGCAGCGGGTCCATCAAACAGCTGTGCAAAAGAGGTAAAAGGCCATTAAAAGAAATTGGAAGAAAAGAAGCTGGCGGTAGCGATGGAAAAGATTTGTATTTAGATAGCAGAAATGAAAAGGAGTATAAAGAAGAACCCTTGTGGTATACTGAGCCGATTACAGAGTACTTTGTTCCTCTTAGCAGAAAAAGCAAGCTGGAGACTACATACCGCAACAGAGAAGATATATGTGGTGTAACATCAGAGGCTGTAGAAGAGTTGTCTGAATCAGTGCATGGTCTTTGTATTAGCAACAATAATATTCATAAAACATACCTCGCAGCAGGTACTTTCATCGATGGTCACTTTGTAGAAATGCCTGCAGTTCTAAATGAGGATATTGACCTCGCTGGGACCTCAATATGTTCTCAACCAGAGGACGACAAATACTTAGATGATGTTCATCTGTCAGAACTAACACACTTCTATGAAGTGGATATTGATCAATCCATGTTGGATCCTGGTGCCTCAGATACGATGCAAGGGGAGAGTCGGATTTTAAATATGATTCGACAAAAGAGTAAAGAAAAAACTGATTTTGAGGCAGAATGTTGCATAGTGTTAGACGGAATGGAGTTGCAAGGGGAAAGTGCAATATGGACAGATTCGACCAGCTCTGTTGGTGCTGAAGGGTGGTTCTTGCAAGACCTTAGTAATTTAGCTCAATTTTGGGAGTGCTGTTCATCTTCTAGTTCTGGTGATGCAGATGGGGAAAGTTTTGGAGGAGATTCTCCAATCAGATTCTCCCCCATCTTAGACAGCACAATGCTGAATTCACACATGCTTGCTGGCAATCAAGAGCTCTTTTCAGATATTAATGAAGGGTCTGGTATAAACTCTTGTTTTTCAGTGTTTGAAGTGCAATGCAGTAACTCTGTTTTACCATTTTCTTTTGAAACACTCAACTTGGGAAATGAAAATGCAGATTCTAGTAGCACTGCTAATATTCTTGGGAAAACACAGTCTAGATTGCTAATATGGACCAAAAATAGTGCCTTTGATGAAAATGAACACTGTTCCAATCTTTCAACAAGAACTTGTAGTCCATGGTCACACTCTGAAGAAACACGTTCAGACAATGAGACTTTAAATATTCCATATGAAGAATCGACGCAGTTTAATGCAGAGGATATTAATTATGTAGTTCCTAGAGTGTCTTCAAGTTATGTAGATGAAGAAATACTAGATTTTTTGCCAGAAGAAACCTGCCAGCAACAAGCTAGAACTTTAGGAGAAATGCCCACTTTGATCTTCAAAAAAAAATCTAAGCTAGAATCTGTCTGTGGTATTCAGCTAGAACAAAAAGCAGAAAGTAAAGACTATGAAACTACACAAGGGTGTAGTGAAAGCAGTCCACATGGAGATGGCTACAGCTCAGGGGTTATTAAAGATATTTGGACAAATATGGCAGACAGAAATTCTGCAGCGATGGTAGAAATAGAAGGAATAGAAGACGAATTGTTTTCAACTGATGTAGATAACTATTGCTGCTGTTTGGATACAGAAGCAAAAGTTGAAACCCTCCAGGAGCCCAATAAAGCAGTGCAGAGATCAGAGTATCATCTTTGGGAAGGTCAGAAGGAGAATTTAGAGAAGAGAGCCTTTGTCTCAAATGATTTATCAAAAGTAGATGGTGGTGACTATACTACACCATCAAAACCTTGGGATGTTAACCAGGATAAAGAAAACTCATTTATACTTGGTGGTGTGTATGGGGAGCTCAAAACGTTTAACAGTGATGGAGAATGGGCAGTGGTGCCACCTAGTCACTCGAAAGGGAGCTTATTACAATGTGCAGCTTCTGATGTAGTGACGATAGCTGGTACAGATGTTTTTATGACTCCAGGTAATAGCTTTGCCCCTGGTCATAGGCAATTATGGAGGCCATTTGTATCATTTGAACAGAGTGAGCAATCAAAGAGTGGAGATAACGGATTAAATAAGGGTTTTTCTTTTATCTTCCATGAAGACTTACTGGGAGCTTGTGGTAACTTTCAAGTTGAAGAACCAGGGCTTGAATACTCATTCTCTTCCTTTGACCTGAACAATCCATTTTCACAAGTTCTTCACGTAGAGTGTTCGTTTGAGCCAGAAGGAATTGCATCTTTCAGCCCTAGTTTTAAACCTAAGTCAATTCTGTGCTCTGATTCAGACAGTGAGGTTTTACACCCCAGGATATGTGGTGTTGATCGAACGCAGTACAGGGCTATACGGATTTCTCCAAGGACTCACTTTCGCCCAATTTCTGCATCTGAACTTTCTCCAGGTGGTGGAAGTGAGTCAGAATTTGAGTCAGAAAAAGATGAGGGAGGTATTGCTGTCCCTTCTCAAGTAGATGTATTTGAGGATCCACAAGCAGATCTCAAACCTCTGGAAGAAGATGCAGAAAAAGAAGGGCATTATTATGGAAAATCAGAGCTTGAATCTGGAAAATTCCTTCCCAGATTAAAAAAGTCTGGAATGGAGAAGAGTGCACAGACATCATTGGATTCCCAGGAAGAGTCGGCTGGAATGTTGCCAGTAGGAAACCAAGATCCCTGTTTAGAGTGCAGCATGAAAGAATCTCTAGATGGGAGGGCGATGGAGACTTCTAAAGTAAACTGCAGAATAGTGGAGCCACGTGAGGAGACTAGCAGGTTTTGCAGTTGTAAAGCAGGGTGCCATTTCCCCACGTACGAGGATAATCCTGTTTCTTCAGGAGAGCTTGAAGAGGTATGTGGATACATAAAATTACGGGATTTGCAGCTGGCAGCTGATAACCAGCAATTTGTCATGTGACAGTTCATTTTAAATGTTTGTAATTGTGTAGTTCTCTAGAAGAACACAGTTTTGTAGAAACACTGGAGGTTCCATCTGAACATAAGGGAAAAACTCTTTTACTGTAAGGGTGACTAGCACTGGCACAGGTTGCCCAGGAAGTCTGTAGAGTCTCCATCCTTGGAGATGCTCAAAAGACATCGGGATGTGGTCCTGGGAACCTGCTCTAGGTGGCCCAGCATGAGCAGGGGGAGTTGGACATGATGACCTCCAGAGTTCCCGTTGAATCTCAATCATTCTGTGATTCTGTGAAAAATTAACCATCTTCAGGCATTACAGTGTCATCTTGCATACCTCTAGAAATATATGCATGTGTGCACTCCTGTGACTTGAAAATCTGTTTACCTTAGGTTTTTAACTTAACTGATTTACATATAATATGTTAAATGTGCATAAAGTTTGAGTAATTAGATATTACTGATTTTGATTCAAACCTATTTTAAAATTTTGAAGAGGAATATCTGAAGTCAGTCTTTGCAATATGACTTACAGTTACTTCCATGTAGAAGAATTTGGAGTTGAATTATTGGATGTAAACCTCAGGAAAGAATGGTTTGTAGAAAGGCTTAATTGTCTGGAAATTAAAATACTCTCTTGTCAACGTAGACACACAAAAAAAAAAAAAATCATGAATGTAAAATGTCCATCGCTACCACAGTACTGTAAGGAGGCCTAACTATAATTATGGTTTAAGCTGAGAGTTTCCTTTCAGGTCACTGTACCTATAGGTTAAGTAATGATCAAGAGCAAAAATCCCTTCCAGCCAAAAAATCCAAGTTCTTTTTGTGAGCTCCCTCTGCTCTTGAGAAGAAATATTTGACAAGCAAAATGAAGGTCCTTGAACGCACCCAGAGGCGGCCAACAGAGCTGGGGAAAGGGCTGGAGGGATGTCCTGTGAGGAGCGACCAAGGACTCTGGGCTTGCCTGGTTTGGAGAGAAGGAGGCTGAGGGGTGACCTCATTGCTCTCTGCAGCTTCTGAGGAGGGGATGTGGAGAGGGAGGTGCTGAGCTTTCCTCCCTGGGATCCAGCGACAGGACGTGTGGGAATGGTTCAGAGCTGTGCCAGGGGAGGTTCAGACTGGACACCAGGAAGCATTTCTGTATTGAGAGGGTGGTCAAACCCTGGGACAGGCTTGCTAGAGAGGGGGTCGATGTCCCAGGCCTGTCAGTGTTTTTAAGAGGCATTTGGACAATGCCCTTAACAACATGCTTCAACTTTTGGTCAGCCCTGAAGTGGTCAGGTTAGATGATTGTTGCAGATCCCGTCCAGCTGAAATAGTCTATTCTATTCTGAAATAATTTAGTTGTGCGGCCAGCCTGGAGATGTTGTCTGGATAGTTGTAAATTGCGTCTTACGTTTTCTTGTCCTCTTCAGCCTCCTCTTCCACATACTCAGCAGTTGTAGTATCTACATTATGAGGGAATTTTTTTCATTTTCAGCTTGAGTTGCACCCAGCTTGTGTTGTGCAATTGTATACTCCTCAATTACAAGTTTGAAACATTAATTCATGGGAAAGCTAACCTTTTTGTTGAGCAAAATCAGAATTCCTTATTTTCCTTCTTATCCATTTGTTTCTCCTTTCATCCTTTTTTAAATTAATTGCTATTGCAGCTTCTTTTCCCAGTGTCAATAAGTTGATGTCTGCTGCTTGCACAAGAGAATCAAATTTGTGAGATTTTCCCAGGCCCTTTCTAGACATCTTGGTTCCTGCTGCTCTGTTAAGTTAATGGCGATGAAGTGGCTCAGAAATCTTTCCTGGAGTCTGGGAAGTTTCTGGGTTTGTGCCAGGCTTTGCAAAAAGAGTCACCAAAAAAATTAATGAACTTAGACTGTAAGTGAGAACAGATTCTGGAATTACCTTTTACCAGGAATAAGCAAATCTAACTTCATGATGCAGTAGGAAGTAATGAATGAGTGAATGGTATAATACAATTATTCATGACAGCAAGAGTCTAAAGTTCCTTCCAGCCCTTTTCAGAACTCCTTTCTGGATGTTTAGTGCTCCATGAGGATGTTTATTCTCATCTTTGCTTCAAACACCCATTGAAGAAGGTAGTAAGCGTCTGGTATGAGACAAGTTTACAGTGGTTCCACAGTTTATGGTAGTTATGGGGTGTGAAAAAAAAATTGGTACTGAATAGCACTCAGAAAGCTCTGGTGGTGTATTTTCTGTAAGTTCCTTAGTGCTTCCCACGCTCAGGTGGCATGATTTTGTAGGTATTTTCATAGCTTCAAAATTCTAAACCACTAAGAAATGCAAAGGATGAACAACTGTCTTGGCAGTGTAGACTCCAATTGGGTTCGCTGTTAAGCTGTTCCTAGGGGCTTGAGGAGCCTGATTACAACCCGAGCTCAGAAAGACTGGGTTAACTCGCCCTCCTGCATCTAGCATGGCTCAGGAGGATGTGTGCGCACTCTGGGCTTTTCTAACAGCCGTTAGCGTGCAGCTGAAGATAACAGGCTTTTTGTTTTGAGAACATTCATCTAAATTCATTAATGTAGTTAAGTCTGTCTGTACAAGAAGGGGTTTCTTTTAAGCATTAAAACAATTTTAGTATGTTGGTTATGAAGTAAACTTGAATCAGTAAAGGCGATGACTATATTGCATGCAGGGAGGGTGCAAATGTCGTGCAAATGTGTCTTGTGTGTGAACTTTCTTCTTCTTAAGAGTGATATTATTTCTTTTCATGATCATTAAACATAATCAACATAAAATACCTAGAATTAGGATGGTTTAGGAGAAGCATTCTTCCTGGACACCCCACACATACATGCATGGGAAAAAGAGTTTTAACTTGAGCAGAGGCTATGGAATTGACTGATTAGTATAGATGAATATTTGTAAAGGATTTTTTTTTCTTTAAATGAAACTTCTGTGCTTCCTTTTACTGACTTAAAATAAAAATTAGAGTTCTTGTTTAACTCACTGTTACCTGACATAAAGTTTGAGTTGTGTTCTGAGGTACCTCTGATATTTTTGCATAAATAATGCATGTGAAAATACTAATATAGACCACAGTGTAACAGTAAAACATTCTGGTTTGCATCACATAGACTTGAATTATATATGTGCTGTGCAAGGACACATCTTTGAATACCTCCTGTTTATAAGACCTTAGGAGAATCTGGTTGTCCTCCCTCGTACTTTCTGTATTAGAGCATTTCTGGTAGACTTATAGCATGTTTTGCAGAAGGAATTTGCTAGTAGCTGCTGTAGAAGTTTTTAGAGAGTCAATTATATACCTAACCGTAAGAATAAAAAAAACGCTGCAAAAACAACACCCCACCAAACCCCTTCACCCCCCCAAACAAAAAGAAAAACACCAAAAATACCCACTGAAGTAGAGTCCTTTTTCTTCCAAGTAAATGCTCGTCCCATTTAGCTGTGGAGTCACAGGTAAGTACACAATCTGGTCCAATTAATGGTCTCTGAATGTAACAACGCTGAATCTCATAATCACCAGGTTTTATATGGGTCTGGTCTAGTAGGTGTGTCCCAAGAACGCTTATACTATTGAGTCCTTGACATAGATAAAGGAACTTGGGGCTTTTATTGGGTTCGGTACCAAACTTTCGAGGTCTGAACATGCCTAGGAGAGTGCATTTGGGGATGAGGAAATTTTACTGGCAAAACCTGTCAGTGTTTATGGATTTCTTGACTTAATTGGCCTGTTAGATTTTGTGAGGTACTTTAGTTGGAGTAATGCAATGTAAGTGTGTAACTCCTTTAGGAAGGGCTGTAAAGAGAGGAAGGGGTGTGCCTTGCATACCTTGGTTCTGAGGTGAATAGTGTAGGAGAGAACCTCCCATAAACCTAGGTAGTGATAAGAGGGAGACAGAATTCAGAGGGGTCTGCTTTATGCCTGAAATTCAGGAGAATTGAGTGGAAAAAACATTCAAGAGCACCTAGTGGTGTCCACATGGAAAGCAAAGGACTTCACTGTAAAAGAGTAACTTTGGGGCTATCTGAGAAAGGGTTGGTCCAGGTAGTAGCTGATATTGGCAGGTGATGAAAACACCTACAAAGACGCTGAACTCTAACTTTATAATTAATAAGACATGAATTTTCTGAGATTTTGAAGGATGAAAGTATCTTGTATGGAGGGGGACCTTAAAAAGATGGAGTTCACCATGACAGTATAAAAATCATGAGGGAAAAAAACAAGGTATAAAGTAAGCCAATAAAATAAAGATTTAGTACACCTGAAAGTTCTAGAAGTAAATCAGAAATGGAAAAAATGACTGAAGGAGAGCGAACTAACAAGCTTGGAAAGCTATGAAAAGATAATGTCAAAAAGGTACTGTTTAGTGCGTTTCTTTTGTTGTTTGAATTGCCGGTCACAAGACAATTAAGCAAAGGAGTAGGACAGATAAATTGCACTGTTTCAGCTAGTTATAGGAATATTAAGCTAAATATCATGAGAAGCTGCAGCTAATTTGAAAAAAAACCTAGTAGAATACTTGCTTGAGAACACATAGAAGATAGAAAATACATAAAAGGCAAACACGTTTCCATCTTTTTAAAGAGGAAAATGGAGCCTGGTAATGACCAATGACTCTCAAATTTGCTGGCTAAAATGTTTATTTAGGAAATGGCATGGATGCACGAGACAGTGAGAAAGTTTCTTAAGTATTAGTCTGGCAAAAAGACTGCACACTCAAAACAACAGTCGGTGGCTTACTGGAGGACGAGGGAGATGATTCGTTTGTCTGGTCTGGGCGGTAACATACATGCTTACGAAAATCCCTGGTGATATCAAACTGGGAAAGTCTGCAGTTACACTGGAAGACAAGATTAGAATCAAAAGGTTGTTAAATTGGAGAAATGGTCTGAAAAATAAAATGCAGTCCAGCAGGGAGAAATACAAACTTCTAAAGAAGATAGTAATCCTTTTCAC